ATTTAATAATATTGACAGACTACGGGCCATTGAACTATACCATAAAATTTATATTTTGCCAATAATTGTAAACATTTTTAAGTTAAGTAATGAAGGGTAGTAAGTAAGCAAAAAATCCTTACTAATATTATAAATCTGAAAGTGAGTTTGTTTGTTTGTTTGTTTGTTTGTTCCGATTTCAAGCCGTAACTACTAAACCGATTGCTTTGAATTTTTGCAGACGTAAAGTTAGAAGTCTGAATTAAACAAGTACTTTTTATCCGGGAAAAATTTTATATTCTCGAGGGAAAACGAAATTATTGGTAGAGATGGCGCTGTGTGTATTGCTGTATGTCACATAGGCTACTTTTTATCCTTTTGTGACGCGAGCGAAGCCGCGGGTAAAAGCTAGTATATAATAAAAGTTATGATCAAACACAATTTAACATGATTTCTTTCTTAGAACATTTAAGTCTTCTTTTTTCTACTAGTTACACATGGTGCAACAATTTTCATGTTATTTTATTAGTCCAAGTGAAAGTACTGCTATAAAGCAAACATCTGTAGATATACAGACTCCATGTTTCTTCGGATAAATCATATTTATTCATTGAATCTAGAATTATATTAGAATCAAGAAATTTCTATCAGAATAGTGAAGGTAGCAAGCAATGAAAATCTTGGATGTATCTTGGTAAAATCATGTAGGTTATTCATCACAAGAATAAACAGAATAAATGCTGTAGTATGTAAAATAAGAATAGATTTCTTTTTCATAACTCCTATGGATCACCATATGATACAATAAAATAATATACAAAAAAGAACCATAGCCGTAGGAAAGAAGGATTATTCTTGGAATGAAGCTCAAGTACCTCTTGTAATTCCAACCAATTTAACTTAGCAAAGCAATTGATTTATTCATACTCAAATCGATTCAAGGTTACTCAAAATTCGACCTAAAATGGATCTACAAACCTAAAAAGCTTTCGAAACAAATTCCTTGAAACGCTATAAGCTGAATAGAATTCAATTTTGTAGTCTTAATAAGTGAAGATATTTCTCGAGGGCGCGAATACAGTGTTGATTAGTGCTGACAGGTTGCGGATTCGAAAGCCTACCCGTTGAATTATTACCACGAACCCTATTATTTTAAGAGAGATATTCGACTGGAAACAAGGGGAATCTCTGAAGATATGTTCTTGCTTCTACAAATACAAAATGGTTTATTCAGACTGGATTTGTTTTAGAGTGCTTTCTAGTTAGGTTTGCGGCACTTCGAAAGATTTTTGAATCTGTATTAGAATAAAGTTTTTGGTGAAATCTTAATAATCTAGTATTTTCTTTTACTACAAATCCAAGTCTTGTCTTTATGACTAACATACAAACAGACTGTCATCGATATCAATAAAAAAATAGTTCAAAAGTACTATGCGAGATCTGTACATCAAAATCTATCCTCAATGTTAATAAAAAAAGAAAGATTCAAACCAAAACAGAGAAACACTATTTTTATATTATCAAATAAAAAGTTTTTTAAGACTCGAGAGACCATGTCTCTTGGCCGAGACATAAAGTCATCTAAAACCTCGATCGTACAGCGAATGCGTTGCCAAACTTCCAAAGATAGGTACTTCAACTTTGTAAACTTCCATTTGAAAAATAACGTTAATATCGAAGCACTAACCGTACGCACTGCATCAAACTAAACCGAACCAAACACAACCTTAAACACGACATTTAAAGTTTAGAATCCAATGATGCAAACCCAACGACTTTAGGCGCCGTTTCGTCGTTTCCCTCCATTACCATTTTACAGAGAGTTTCAATAAGCTCTTGCTTTGAAATTGGCTTTTTCATAGTTTTTTTTCTTTCCTTGATAACATTATATTACTTGAATAAATAAGGTCATTATACCGTTGTATTCAAATTGAAGATCGTCCTTGTGGTACTATTCATTTTGTGAGATTTTTAATGTGTTTTTCGAAGAACGTCTTTGAACGGAATTATCTGGGTTTAGATAACAAGTTTTAATATCCATGTTTGTATTGTAAAATTAAACAAAACACGCTTTGTATGAAATGTTTCTACTTCTGCGCAAATTGTGAGGAGAATGAGGAAAATGGATCATGTCTGCGATGTTGGCAACCAAATGGCAGTGTTTATGAGCCATTACGCACTTTATTTCGATACGTTGCTTGATAATCGCTGCAATATTGGTTTGTGCTACTTCTGTATATGTATGTATATTACGCATCATACTTGTTTTATTATCTTACAAATGATATACTGAATAACCTAAGTTAAGGTCGTTATGGAGACTTTTAATAGTACTTACATAAAAAAGACTACATAAGGTGTAATTTATTATTTTATCAAATAGCTTGCAGCTGCTACAAATCTTTCCTGATCGGCATGAAAACAACGTTAGTTTAAAAAAAATGGTGGTAAAATACTGCACAAAATATCGATATATTTTATTGAAACTAGGTTAATAGCGCTTCACGTGACATCAAAGCACCTTTCTGAATATAGCTAGAAAAAAAAACAATGTTCTAATGATCGTTGTAGTGTAGTGTGCTCTAAAGAATTGTTCGCTCGTCGTACGAGAGCACCGGAGCAAACAATTTCTCTCAACGGACTTTAGAAACCAACGTGGGAAAAAACACACGTTGTAAGAAATACAGACACATCCCGAAGCAACAAAATAAAGATACCGAATACTGTAAAATATTCAACGACATCTCCAACTTTGGCAGCAACAAATATAAAAATATTCCGAAGTAAATTTCGTATACAATTATTATTGGCTTACTTTTAAGTGGACGGATTTTTTCGTTCTCCAAGGTCTGGCTAATAAGAAAAAAGTCAAAAGAAACCTCGAACACAATAGGAAACTTAAATTTGGAATAAAGTTCAGGGCTCAGAAACCTTTTACCGCGACGCCAAACTCACAAAAGTGATTTAATTCCAATTCATTCATGACCCACTGAATGAGTCCATCTTAATTCGTTGCCTGCTCCTCACTTCAATAAAAGTTACAAGATTCCGAAAATTACTTGTTCAATTGAAAAGTTTCCAGATTGCCAGCGAGCAAAATAATTAAATTTAGCTCAAAACTCTCTTGAAAGTGACTAAGTTTTATAATGGTTTACGACAATGTGGATTTATTAATTTCATATGAGAAATGCGTCAAAGAAATGTGTACCTGTGTGTTGTTTGCGCTATTCTGTAGTAAATTGCATTTCAATCACGTGGAAGATCAGATGTATTACCAGTTTATCTCGCCCTAAGCGTAAGACAAGGGAAAATGGGTTGCTATGATATTTGTAAGCGAGAAGCTGTCGAGATAGCGTTGCAGGCTGTCACGGTGCGCGGTGCGTAGATTGAACAAATACGATAGTACCTGCCGCCCGAAGCATTGTACGGTACTAAGCAAACTCGTGTTTTACGAAGGAAAGATTTATTACATACTTATTTTGTTTGTGACAAAGATGTTGCGCGATATTTGTTTTGTTATTAAAGATAAATTTCCTTAAAAATTAAATCCTACAAGGATGATGAAGAAATTATATTTATGAATCATATTATTAGTAATCATAATTATACAAAAGCTTGATTGGCGTATGGTTCTAACAATGGTGTAACATAAAATGTACTGACGACGAAAGTGAATGCAATAAGTAGTCAACCGACCAAACAATATGAAGACGTTGGTAGGTCATGGTGAGAGGGCTCAAGAGTCCTTCGGAACCAAAAGTGGTTCCAAAGGGAAACGCTATTAAAGAGTTTTATTAATTAGTACAAGGCTTGAAGAACGATCAAGTATGAGAAATATAAACATTTCGGGGATCGAAGAACATCGTTGATTTATATAAATATTTACATTTGTATTACTAAGAAGAACCATTAATTTGTGAATAAACATTTAACATGTTTACGTTATACACATTCTCTGTTATATTAACACAGAACTTCTGATATGGGGTTTGATTTAGCGTAAAAGGCAAACACATATACGACTTCAGCGATAAACACCTAACTAATGCAACATGTTTATAAGTGAACTATTTTAATCAAGAATTTCCTCATTACGAATTAAATGGTGCAATCGACTAAGTTCTAACAGTCAATTGAAGCAATTTAATGAACTTTTCAAACTCGGTCACCACTTTAACTTATAATAAGAAAACTTACACATTGTCGGCATTCATTTCAAATGCTCAAAGTCCTCTAAAATTGTCAGACGTTCTCAAAGTCGGTAATAAGAGTGTAGGAGTACCACAAGGGCCTACACTAGGACCATTATGATAATTACTCACACGGGCCAACTGTAACACAATTTGTATGAGTGGGTGAGCGTCAAAGCTTATCCTTTGGAGATTAATTTTGAAAGAGTACTACATTACTCCAAGTAATTACTGACAGAAGCAATTAATCCAGCCCCGGTCTTTCCGCCCTCTGGTTGAAATATTGTCGGAGCATATAAGTTTTCAATCTGCTTCGATGGCTTTCGGTGTGAGTGCATAGAATCTTTTGTTTAGTTTCATACAATCGAACGATATATTATTATGCTTTTTGCAATGAAAGCCAAAAAAATAAAGTGTAAGTTACGTATTTTTATCTTGATTTTGATTATAAAGGTTTATTATTTTATAAAGATAATATGACGTAATCAAATATAAGATAGAAATTAATGAAACGCATAGGTGATTTTACATTTAATTTATCAGGTTATCTAGTGCATAAAGGCTAATCGTACGTAAAAATATCAGTGACAAATTTTCTTTAATAAAACGCATAATAAAATATTACCGCAAATTTAACCAATCCATGTAACAAAAATGATTTTTATGAAACTCATGATTCGATATTAATATTAATAGTACGTAATACTCATTACGTAATTGTTTTCAATACATCAGTAATTTATCCGTAACAATATCAGTCCGCGTTTTAATTAAAAGATCAAGCGTAATCTAATTAAGTCAACGCTACGTTAGCAAAATACAATCACTCACCATAAATCATTGAGATGAATAGCAGTATTGCATTCAATATATATGAATGCCTCTTTATCCTCTTCAATTCCCCGGCCATTTTGTCTATATTATATTATTTATAAATATATACTATTTAATTTGACACTCTTCTTCTTTTCATCATCACTTAACACTGTAATTTATTGTTCCTATTATCGTACCATTCAAAGTCTATCTTCTAATGACTAAATAGCTACACATCTTGTCACAATTTATTCGCTTTTACAACTATCATACTACTTCCTACTAAATACGTCAACATTTATTCTACTTCGTAATTAACGCGCTGACAAATAGTTTTATGACACTTGGTTAAAACGAATGTCACTTCATATATTAAAGTTCCTACTTAATGTTCATCTATTTTTATTTCATCCTTAACCAATGTTTGGCGCTTAAATCGTACGGCACTTGTGACTTTAGTAACGCGTGCTTGGATTACTTGACTGAGCATAATGAGCGAGGAACATCTAAAATTAACTAGAAAATCTCCGTTGTTTTCATATATAAATCTTATTTAATCCCGGCGCGTAAGTTTGAAAGAAATTTTCATTCCGGTACAACATTCCCGTTACAAAATTTACGGTCACTTGACACACTTGTGTACACTCGTGTTCATAAAAGTTTCGCATCACAAGAGGATTCACTGATATTTTTTGGTGTGGGGAACAAGTTGGGTATCGGCATCGTCGATGTGATTTTTTCTGTTGGAGCGCGCGCGTCCGTTTCGGAAGGCAGCTGCGAAAGCACTGACTTACATAAGGGATTCTCCCGGTGCCACCCGAGCGTCTGTCGGAGAGGGATGGCACACGATTTTCGTAAGGGTTGCAGGTCGCGTGCGGTACGTTGCGAAAGAGACGGAAGAGATTTTCGCATTCAGGCCGTAGTCCGCTGAAACGTAACGTTGAAATCTTGTGTGAAGACGCAATTAAAATGTACATAAATCTGAAAGAGATACGTTTCAGGAGTAACACGTCCAAGTTAATAAGTGCTTAACTTGACAGTTAATAGCATATCTGTGCTCATAATTCTTAGTTAGAGATTACCAGGCGTTGTGGTGTTACTGACTTCATTAATTACTGTCAATCCATTGACAGGAAGACGATTATTAAATGAGATATGATTAATTTGTTCGCAGTTATTAGAAACATTCATCATTTATTTACAGTAAAATATAATTAATCGGTAATTATAAGTATATTGAAATTATGGCTCAAAAAATTTGTAACGTGGTTTTTTAAACTTAGTTACGTATAGTTGACGCTTATAGATAATAGTAAATTAATCTTATTTACATTTCTACCTTTACAATAGAAAGGATTATATAATCCAAAGACATTATTCAAAAAATTGTCTCGTTTTATTCAGAACCTCTGCTAATACTGCTTTTTAAATATAAATTATACGGAGCGAAATTGGTGGATATAAAATTCAAATCAAGCCTGTCTTTTTGGAGTCAAATCATTTAGCAGTTTGTCTTCGATCGTCTCAGTACTGGCGATACAGAATGAATGCCGTATTGAGGTACTTTTGCCTTTTTTGTTTTATTAATGTCAATTTTGAATTCACAATCTATCTTGGGTGTACCTATATAGTTGTGATTGTCACCTTGGATTGTTTTAACAGTAAAATCAGTTTACATGATAATTTAGGAACATAATTTTTGAATGTTTGGCACTCGGTATTTGTTGTTTCATTTTCAACTTGCAATTTGATGCAGTTTATGCTTGTGATAATGCAAATGCTACAGTTGCATTTAAACGATTGAAAAACATGTTCGACAATAAATTAGAACTACATTTGGTTTTTTTACCTAACTAGATTTGGAAACAAAATGGCCACTAGCTTAGAAATAAAATTAACTATTTTGAATAATGCTAATATCATATTTCGACAAAGAAAGATGTCACTAAGCTACTAACACTTCACATAATTAAAAACTTAAAACGGATTACACGCAGAGAGATGTAACAAAGCGAGACGGGACTTGCTGAGTGCTTACATTATATCTAGGTACAATGCTACAGTGTTGCTAGTCACATTTTTTTGTAGTACCTAAGTGTTTAAAAAATGTTTTAGATGGCGCTGCGTACGGTTAAAATAAAAATAAAAAACTGCGTACGGTTAGTAGGGGTAATTTTAAGTGTGAGAGACCCATGCTTGGGACGAATGGGCCGGCGTGACCGGAGTAATACCACGGCCTCTTAGAAAACTGACGTGAAACAACGCTTGCGTTATTTTTCGTCTTGCTTGATCTCTCCAATCCCTGAATTCCCAACAATCCTCAAATTCCTAATACCCAAAAGACGGGAACTTGTAACGCACTAGTATCGCCTCTGGTGTTTCAGGTGTTCATGGGCGGCACCGATTGCTTACCATTAGGTGATGAGTCTACTCGTTTACCGGCTTCTCCCATAAAAAAGGGGCAAAAACTTTACTTTCCACGTTAACTGCCATATAGGTCACTGGTAACCGGCTTTAGCGGTAGTCAAAGGCTTAAACTGTCAAACACCAAGCGGTCACCGGTGACCGCAACCTATTGTTCTTTAATTATGTCTATAATGAGGGTACTCAACGAGTACCGTCATTATCTCTGTACAAAAAGACATATATATATAGGTACTTGAAGAGCTCGGTGACGTGGTAAGAGAGGCCTATATCCAGCAGATGACGTAAGTAGACTGATGCTGATTAATGATTTTATAAATTACTGCTAAAATACTAGTTCTTTTGACTGCCTCGTTGTCCGAGTGGTTGCAAGTGCGACTGCTGGGCTAGGGGTCTCGGGTTCGATTACCGGGTCGGGCAAAGTATTAGTGGGTTTAAAAAAAATGTCAGTAGTAGCACGGAGTTTGGAAATATGCCCGGTATATATAGCAATATTACATGGAACTCATACCATAAATAGTGAAAAGTAAGTGTTACATTGTGCAGTGGCGTCGAGTGTCGTAATGTGTACCTCTGCCTAGCCCTTCGGGGATAATATGCACGATGTTATATTATGTTTTATTACCGGTAGTAGGTAGTAGTTAGTATCCACGATGTAGTTAAACTGAACGTTCTAAGTTTTTGTTCCAGTCTAGTAAATTACTTTTGTTTATTTTTTGTACATTTTTGGATTTAACATTATAATCAAGATTTCATCATGTTAAGCGTGTAAACTTACTGAGTTTCTTTCTGGTTTTTTGTAGAGCTGTTCTGATTCTGTGTAGAGGCATAAACGGTGCGGAGCCATGAATCCCTGGGAAATAGGAATATAATACCTTATATTATATGTTTTAAAGTTTGACTATTCATCATCTTTACAAGCAAAGTATTCCCTAGTTGAATCCCTTATTCCTTATTCCTTAATTATAATAAGAGGTATATTATATTAATTGTACACCGTGAAATTTATATCGTTTACATCCCGTAGTAAAATGGTTCTGTTTCGGTAATACGATAGGTTTAAAAAGAAATAAAATGATTAAATTCGCATTCGAACTCATAGTACATTATCAAATCATCACGTCATGCAATTTTCGAAGAGGTATTTCTCGTCGGGTGATACGTGCGATGCAAATAGTGCAAAAAAATTTACATCAAATGTCGTCGATGTCAGTAGTGTAAGTCGATGAATATTCTTTTGAACAAAAAAATCGTCTCTATTTTTTTGTTTATAAAATAACATAAACATCACGCCTTTTATCCCCGAAGGGGTTGGCAGAGGTGCACACAGAAGTAACACCCACTTCTCACTATTTATGTTATTAGTCCCATGTTATAGAGGGTGAGCCTATTGCCATATACCGGGCACAATTCTACTGAGTTTTTTTCAAAACCCAGTAATACTTTGCCCGACCCGGGAATAGAACCCGAGATCCCTTGGCCGGCAATCGCACTTGCGACCACTCGGCCAACGAGGCAGTCAGTTTTGATTTTACTTTGTACATTGAAAGTGCTCCTTATGGCAAATTGTTTTCTCGTGAGACGAGAAACAAAATAAATTTTACGGTGTATACTAAGATGAAATAGAAGAAGACGTGTAAACCTAGTTAAATATATGTACAAAATAACTTACTCAGTTTATCACAGGACAACATCTAGGTTTTCCTCTGTAGGGCAATGCGGAAATGTATGCATTGTATGCCAGGGATTCGAAGTCGGGTACCCCTGTAAGTAGTATAACATTTAAATATTATAATGTTATATTTTTTATGT